TCATTTAGTTTGTTTGCAATCACCAAAGAATTTGTTTCGGTACCGTTTTCGAATTGAACTTGATTTACACAATCATGCGGCTTCGAATTGATCAGTCTTTTTAAAGTCTTCCACATCTTTACACTGTCGCACTTGTTATTATCGATTTGTTTATCGTAGAATTTTCTTTTTTCTTCTCTAATTACATATACACATTTATTCCTAAGAGTTTTATATACCTCCCAATCATCATTTGATTTTGTGAATATACATTTATTATATTGTTTGTCTCTCAAATTTTGAGCTACCTTAATATTCTTGTTATACCAGGGTGTATTTTTTGTCGAGCAAATCAGTTTTTTATCAGTTGCAAGATCTAAACAAGTTTTTATATTTCCTATTATGTTGTCATATATTTTTTTCCATATTCTCACCAAAATTCCAATAGCAGCCAGCAAGTTCTCGTTCAAGTTTTTCGTACTTAATAGTATTTACGATTTTCTTAATTTTTGTATCAGAAAAATGCCCTACCAAGGGCAGCATTGTCCAACTGTGATCGCTAACTTTAGGTGTATGTACAGCTTTAATCCCTGCACATTCGAAATTTACAATAACAAGATCTAACAAAGTCTCTGATAATGATGTTATTCTGGTACTCTCTTCAATTTTTTGCTTGAACCCATAGTTGTTTATGGTTTCTTTCAATTTTCTTGTTTTCATGCTTTTACCATAATAATTTAAATTAAAATCACCTAAAAGTATTATATTGTTTCTAAAATTCCACAATTCTTCGCATTTTTCTTCAAAAAACGTTAAAAATGTATCTGCATCACTGTTTGGTGAACGGTAAAAAGTACAAAGATCATAACGTTTCCCAAATAATTTGAACTGTATATGTGCATACCAGTATGCATAGTCTAAAGTGGTACAATCGAATAATGTGATCTGTATTTTGTGGTAAACATAAATCACTACACCTCCAGTATGTCTGGAGTTGGAGTTGCATCTGTAGGTTTTATAATTAGTAATTTGTAATTCACCATCAGTGATGTCTTCTGTAGCATGTGTTTCGGTAAGACATAATACAAGTGGTTTTCTCCATCTTAAAAACTGTTGAACTTCATCTATATTATTTAGGACTCCTTGTATGTTTAAATGGTATATTGAGTTATATTCATCACTTATAGATTTAGCCACGTCTTGCAAATCTTGAGTAAAATTTCTACTTCCTCTTATCAGAATATAATCACTCAGTATAGCATTTTATACCAGGAAACTCTGGATAATTTTTATAAATTAATTCGTTCTCGAAGAAAGCGTGGTCAAGTAAATCTTTTAGGTACTGTGATAAAATCAATCACTGAAAATCTCGATGAAGATGATCGGATATTTTTGGAAAAACATATTGATGCCCTTGAAAAGAAGCAGTCAGAAATTGTTACTGTCTGATGACTACTGGAGTTACGAGGATGATCTTCCTTTGACGAGATTTATCAAAAATGCTAAAATAAAAGTTGACACTTTTGTTATTGTCGAATTCAAATCCAAAAAAGTTACGAACCATAATATTGGCCAAGTCAAAGAGCTTGTGGCAGATGATTACACCATAAATTTTATGAGGAAGCAAAAAATTGGCTTCGTGTTTTCTGTTGTTGAGGACATAGCCTTAATTTCTAAATCAGAAGTGATCGAGAGGGTATGGCCATATCATATTAACAGGAGCATTCATTATTTTGATGTTAGTTTTGTAAAATATTAATTTTACTAAAAGTTTTATTTTCAATAACTAGGTAAAGAGTTGCTTGTGTTTTTTATTCCTCTTCATATTAGAGAGTTCCTTTGGATACTTAGTATGCATTGTTTAGATTAGTTACCATAATATAGGTTTTTTGATAGGTACTCACCTACCTATCCAAATATTTTTCAAAAGAAAAATGTCTCTATTAGTAAGTTTGGTTAAGTTAATAAGTTAATGTTCGACTTTTGTATTGTAAACTGAAAGACTGAAGTTTATGGACTTTTTTGTATGTTTCTCAAAGAATAAACATTGTTTCTTAACATTTATTTGATGTTTTCTGTAAAAAAAATTTTAAAAACTTAAATTGGGCCAAAGTAAACTATAGAGAGTCTTAAGTTGACATCACGGTCAGTTTAAAGAGCAGTGGCAAAGTATCACCGATGTCCGGGTAACTTTACCGTTTCTTTAAACAAAAATAAAAAATATATCCGGGCATAAAAAACAAATTTGAATGTAGGAATCTGTAGCCAAATAACGGAAATTATACATAGTTTTTTCCAAGAAAATATTGTAAAAAATAAAAAAGTTAGAAAAAGAAAAGTGCAAAAATCGTTGCAAAGTAACACCGCTCTACGGTACTCTATCTAAGAACCTATCCATCGTAGAGCCTTGCGGTAAAAAAAGTTCTTGCTAAAATGGCAAAGAGAAAAACCTGGAAAACACTTTCAAATTTCTGTAATGGCTGCTGGGGGCGTAACTGCAACCTTGAATCTAAAAAACTGATGTTTCTGTGAATTCCGCTATATTAAACTTGTAAATATGTTAACTTTTTTTCAGATGTGGCCGCTAGAGGGCTTTTTTCGACATTCCGACAGAAATGATTAACTTTCTCAAGAAAATTAAATGCATTGGATGATTTTTTATAAAAAAGCAGCTAAATTATATCTAAACAAGCTCGCCAAAACCGCATCTCGATATCTTGGTCCTGACCTAAAATTTAGGTCTTAGAAAATTTTATACGAAAATCACTTTTATTTTTTTAAACTAATTCTTCTTTATTCATCAGAATAAAATCACCCTTTCTGAAAATATTACAAAATATCTCTAAAAGGTGAGTTAAGTAATGTTAATAACAACAGGCATATTTTTTGCTTAAATACATATTCACTGTGGATATATACTAAAAAGACAATTAATAAAAGCAGGCCTTGGAATACAAAAAATAAATACAGAATGCAAAATGAGTTTACGCGACTCGATATCCAAATCGGCGTCTTTGCGATATTAGAGTCTTTCCCCGATTAGTGGCGGGCTTACGAGCCACTGGTAGTTTTCGGCCTATGTTTCAACGGCAAAGAACTGAAAGAACACTTGGGCATATCATGAATAAATCAAAATATTTAGAAGGACCATAGGTAAGTTCTAAAGGCCATTAAAGTACAGGGATTTATTGAAATTTAACTTTTTTTACTTTTCGAATGCACCCATATCATGTCGTTTTGCATCAGGCCTTGGAAGACTTAAGACTTTGATCGGAGGATGGACTATTGCCATTGGTTGCTAGGCATGATACGCGGAAATAGAGAATTTTTATTTCAAATTTTTTGACCGTCCTATGAAGCGACTTTTAATATACGAGTACGTCAATATACATTATTTCTCTGCAGAAAACCTGCATTGGTTGCGTGAAGTTCAGCACCAAAGCCGTTAGAGTTTAAATGTGTGGTGTGGTATACTGGGAGGCAGAATTATTGGGCCATTTTTTTCCAGCAATCCCTAAATGGCAATGTCTTTCTTGACTTTTTGGACAATCAATTGTTGGAAGATGTGCCACTGTAAACCCGGCATGGGTTGGAAGAGGAAGTCTGTTTCCATGGCCTTCGCAATCACCAGACTTAACATGGCTTGATGTTTGTTTAAGGGGACTTCATGTTTCAGATTCAACCTACAACCAGAGAAAATATGAAAATTCGGATGCGTTATGTAATACGTAACATACCGAGAGCCGAAATTGACGTTGCAATTGTCTACCCAAGAGAGGCTTCAGGAATGCATAGAGCGTGATGATCAGCATTTCGAACATTTACGGGGGAATTAAAATCGGTTCTTTTTAGGGCCACAACTTAATAATAAAAAGAAATTCCAGAGAAACTTGTTGAAAAGATTAAAAATTTAAGGGGTTTCCGTATAAAATTTTCTTTGGCCTATATTTTAGGTTATTGACAATATATCGAGATGCAGTTTTCGCGAGCTTGTTTAGACATCAGTTAGCCAATTTGTGATAACAGAGAGCATACCAATGCATTTTAAGCCGTCTAGCGGCCACATCTGAAACTAACAAAACTTCAAATACCATAACACTTGTAGCTCTTTTCAACTAGCCTACGTTTGTAAAAATCGGCTCAGCCGTTTCGAAGATACAGGGTGTTTTTTACGGAATATCCCCCACCACTTTATTTTCAGGGTTACAGCAAAAATTGTCAAACAAAAAAGTTCACATTACCCTCGACTTCAAAGATCATGTATTTTTTATTAGGTTAATATAGCGTAATTCACAGAAACGTCACTTTTCCAGATTCAAGATTGCAGTTACGCCCCCTAGCGGCCATTTTAGAAACTTGAAAATATTTTCCTGGTTTTTCTCTTGACCGTTTTAGTAAAACTGTCTTAGCTGCAAGCCTCCACGATGGATCGGTTCCCAGTACCTCGCACTCTTAGTTGGCCACCCTGTACTTTGTCAGATTACAAGGTACTCTTATTAAAAGGATTCCAGACTATAGAGGGTCATAGGTTAGTACTTCGACCAATTAGATAATCCGACATGGCCTTGACGGATTATGGCGGTTCCACTGTATTTCTATATTGTAATTTCAAGCACAAATATTTCTACCAGACATGCGCTAGGTGGCCTCATCATCACGCACCCGGCAAACGGGAACACCTATTAAAGTTTAGTTATTGAAGGTAGAATGTACTTTATGCTAAAACACCTTGTAATAGATTGATAGTAATCGAGGTAACGACTTTAGTCCATTGGACTATTTCACGCTATTGAATTGACCTGGGGCTTGATTCTAAATGAGTTTCGCCCGTTGAAATTGATTTCGATGGCGCCTTGTGACGATATACTTGATTAGTTATGATCATTTTGACACCGCCATGATAATTTGAATATAGAAGATCAATATAATCAGATGTCACAAGGCGCCATCGAAATCAATTTCAATGGTCGAAACTCATTTAGACTCAAGCCCCTGGTCTCATTTTCTCCTATCGTTGTTAGAGATCCTATAGACAGACATCAACAATGTGCACCAATACAAGCAGAGCATTACCTAAACACGATGCGAGCAGAATATGTAAACGCTGCTATGAATCATGTAGAAGGAGGTTGGCCAAAGGATGTGAACTTAGCTGACGAGGAACAACCAAAGAGATATAGGAGAAAGATAGAAAAGGATGAGGGATTCAATCATACTATGATGCAGTTGTTCAAGGTGCGAATATTAGGGTGTCCCAAAAAAATGATAGTTTTCTTTTCAAACGCATACCCTCTAATTTTGCTTGAACAATGTCAAGACAATTGTAAATAAAGTTTTATCTACCTAAAACCAGGGCAATCCGTGCCGAGTTGCATTGGAACATGTCAAAACTGGCATATTAGGCGCGCTTTGCAGTGGTCATTTGTTCTATTAGTAAACGCACTGTTTTTGTTCAGTCAACGTGTCGAGGGAATTATGCATTTCTAAATAGGAAATATTCTTAATAGGGGACGTAAAGCATCAAGTTGCTGGTTCAAAACTTTTCTCTAATGGACAAGTACTAGCATTTTTGCTCTATAATATCCGGGGAGTGAAATAAAGTTGCAATGATCTGTGCAAAAATCCAATATGGCGTCCATAAGAAAAATAAAGTTGAAGCTGTAGGACAAGAGACAAAACGTCATATAGAAATTCTGATTATACTATCTTGAAGAGGAGAAAATGCGACAACATTAATGTTCAATTTATTTTAAAATCCCACTACCTACAAATAGAGTTAGGTACATATTTTGTGAAGTTTCTGTTTTTTCCGTCTCTCTCCGGAAGTACTTTGAATTTCGAAACTGTCTAAGCTACTAATGGTGAAGGTCGAATTTGAAACACCCAGCAGTGAAAGTCCAAGATACTTGAGGCCTGATAAGTATCAAGGGGTCATTTCCACCCCTATATTTTGCTGATAAGCGCCCACCTCAGTGTAGATACCCCTTATAACGATTTTCTGATGTATATCATTTTACTATTTTGAGATAAATTGATAACTGTGCAAACTGCATTCTATAAGCAAATTTCAAAAAAAGGTGCACACCCTGTAAGAATAAGTAAAAATAAAATGAATTAGCGCTTACCATTTTCTTCATTTCTGTACCGCGGTATCTGCGAAGTTTCCCTTCATTGTTCTCGCAATCCAAACCACCACAAGCACTCACAAACACTTTTGACATGCCATTTTCCTGGGTACGACAGCTCTGTGAAAACACAGAAATTGGCGCAGTCGAAAAGCCCGTGTAAGAAATCCGCGATATTTCTGAAGTTTTCCTCAGTTCTTCACATAACCAAAGGTGAAAACCACTTCAAAAACTGGCAAACATTTAATCTACATGCCACGAACACATTTTTCCGGGTGCGGCCGATCTTCACTTTGAAAACACTGAAAATAACGCTCCCGAAAAGCCCGTGTAAGAGGCCCGCGAAAACTGTTAAAAACAATTACAACATTGCATGCCAGACGACAGACGGTTTACTAGGATTTGAAGTTGGCCGATGCCCGAACTCAGTTCTGAGAACTCTTCCAGGCCTGTTTGTATCAGCAAGGGCAATTTCGTTCATTTTAATGGCTAAAATATCTATAGATAAACCTATTATATTTTAATATTTAATATATAATAATAATTTTTGATAGCCTTAAAAACAGGATTAGCGAAAAATAATATTTTTTTAAATATCTACCATGGTTTACTGAGTATCAAAAATCTTGAGCTAACGAAATCTTGTAGGGCGATATGCCAGTAACCGAACACTACTAGTAGTCGGACAAATGTTATGTTATTGGTAATAATATTTGAAATCCTATAGATACTTGCTGGTAATTGGCACAAGATTTATCAACTAAGTAGTTTGTGACAGTTTACAACAATTTCACATTCACATCTGTCATGTTGAGTATTAGCGCGTTAAAAACAGCATGCATTCGATTTCTCAATTTTTGTCATTTGTGTAGTGACTGGCATAAAGTTTAAAATAGTCTGTCAAAGTTCAATATATTCGTTGCAGAAAATTAGTTTTATCTGTACAGGATGTCACATAAATTAGTAGCAATATAAACTTGTATTTTCTTAACTGGGTATTTCTGTTGATTTTTAGAAGAGCTTTTTCTTGGCCATTCTGCCAATGTATGGTTCGGGAGTTTGTACTGGGTATTTTGGATCATATGGCCCTTCTTCGTTAAAATCATTGTACATTTGACGTATCTTAAACACACTTTAGATAAAATCATATTTCAACCGAGGTATACAGGGTGCGTCATATCGGAAAGATGTAATTTTCTCGAAAAATTTATTGCAACATCCTGTATCTTTTATCTATATTCAACGGGTCTCTTGATGCCTTTTCAGCTTTATTAAGCATTCCGTATACCTAAACCTAGTATTTTTGAGATATTCCATGTTTTATAAGTAAAAACCATAAAAATGTTAGAATTATTGAAATAATATGTGTAGGTTGGCCATGCTTTTTTAAAAACTTTGTTATTGTAAACTTCAGTAGTAAAAAGTCTTGCTTGTATTAGTTTCGCTTAGGAATAAAATGAATTTTTCAACACAAGAAATGGTTGATATGATTTATGAGCTAGGAGCAAATGACAAAAATTCTTTATAGGAAATCAGATTGTTTGATCAACGTCCCCCAGACAGAATACAACAGTGTAGGAAAAGTCTCGATAATCTTATGGAGCGCTTCAAGCGTACAGTGAGAAGGAAGAAAATGTGAAACCAGTTTGACAGGAAGAGAATGTGTTTGCTCCGAGTAACTGAAGATCTCCATATAAGTGTTCGGCGTAATTCAACAGATTTAGACGTTAACAAATCATCCGTGCACAGTGTACTTCAAAATAACAAAATGCACCACTATCATATACAATTGCACCAAGAGCTAAGCGAAAACGATTACAGACTTAAGCTGACATTTTGTGACTGGGCACAAGGAAAAATCCGTGATCAGGAAGATTTTTTTGAAAATGTTCTGCTCGCCGACGAATCAACTTTCCATAAAAATGGATGTGGTAACAGGCACATTTTCCACTATTATGCCAGCCTTCAGCCGTATGCAATGTTAACGCACAAACAGAAAAGATAGTCATTAAGCGTCTAGGGTGGCATAATTGGCAGTTTTGTTATAGGGCCACATTTGTTCAATGCTACATAAAACGGACAAGTTTATCTGGACTTTTTGGAAAACATTTCACCATATCTATTAAGACATATGCGGGAACGGAGAGAGAATGTGGATTCTTCATCGTGGAGTTCCTGCACAACAAGCACAAACAATAAATAATTATTTAGAGAGGCCTATAAGACTCCACCTACGACAAGAGCTAATACGCAAGACAGGATACGGGAAGTTTTAACCACCAAATGTTAAGAAATGTTGCCGAATCATTTAAACGTCGGTCGCAGGTCTGTATTGACGCTGGTGGTGGGCACTTTCTAGAATTAATTAAGTAGATAAATAGATTTAGTTAGTTATCATAATTGTTACAGAGTTGTTATTTTTAATTATTAAGGTTCTTTAGAAGAGATAAGTATAGTGTTATTTATTATAGTAGCCATTGTAAGTGCTTAATTACATTTTTTTAGCCACTCAGCAACATATTTTAATTAATAGAAATTTTTTGTTTTATTAATAACATGACTGATGGATATTTTCCTGATAATTCGGAAATTATGGTTTTCACTTCTAAAACATGGAATATCTCAGAAAATACCAGATTAGGGTATAGGCAATGCTGAATATAACTGGAAGAGCACTACGAGACGCGTTGAATAGAGTTATAACATACAGGGTGTTTGATTCAAATGTTTCGAGAAAATTACATATTTCTGTTTTGACTCACCCTGAATGTCTCGAATGAAATATGTCCAGAAAAAACGTTGGATATGAATGTCTATCACATTTTTTTTCACTCAGAATCATAAAACAGGTTTTATCTAAAGTGTTGTTTAAGATACGGGCAGTCATATGTACAATGATTTTAACGAAAAAGTGGCCGTACCTTCCGAAATACCCAGTACAAACCCCCAAAACCATACATTGGCGGAATGACCAAGAAGCCCTTAGCTCTGCATAAAACTTTTATATTAAACTTTTTTCTGCGACTCTAATAGTAACGAAGATATTTAACTTTGACACACTATTTGTTCACCCTGTATATCCTGACTGTAAAAAGAAAATTTTAAAAGAAAATTTAGTGAATAATGCTCTTCCAATGATGAATATCTAAGACATATAAAACAAATAAAGCAGTGTTTTATTTGTATTATATATATATATACACATGGTTTCCCTATTAGCTTGACACGGGTTATGGTAACCCGATCGCAATAATATTGATTTCTTGAAGTTGTTAGAGATAAATGAAAAAAAATATGCTTTTGAAAAGGGAACTTTCATAGTTTTGGGACACCCTAATATACAGGGTGTAAACGTTACGATAGTCATTATTTAAATCGGTGATAGAGGGGGTTAAAAGAAGCACAAAGTTTCATATAATATGGGGGTCAAAACGGCATTTTTTTAGAGAAAAGCGACTTTAAAGTAAAATAAAATCTGACAACGCCGCAATGCCAGACGCAAATTACAACAGAACGCAGTGTAAATAAATATGGAGTTTGTTATTTTTGACTCTTAGGTATTATTTTATTATTTGATAACGTACTCGTAAAATGCAAACAATTAAAAAAACGGACTTACCACTAACTGTCTCAGCGCTTCACCTGGTGTGTGAAAGTTTATTGAACGTATTAAAAAATCCACTTATAAATAGGGAACACAATTTTGATATATACATTGTTTTTCTTTTTAAAACCCACACTGCACTTTTTTTGTATTTAAAGAAGGTGTTCAAAATGTCGACCTCCACTTTCCACACAAGCTTCATTACGACCTTCACGAATGGTATGAGGATTTTCTTGGGCCCACGTGTGAGTATTATGGAAATTTAACATCCTCTCGCGTAAAAGTACATTCGTCCGTTGCTAGAATGTTTTTAAAAAAATCCGGATTGACTACAAATTTTGGCTTAACTTAGAAAAACTTAATGCCATTTATTTGTTAATTATCCAATTTAAAAACATTTTAGATTAGATTATAAAAATTAGTAAGATTGTGGTGATTGTGTTCGATATAAAGCACTTAAAGTTGTAAACTATAAAGCCATTTAGACAAAAATCTATTGACTTTTGGACCATGGGTCATATGAACTTTTTGAGTTGTTTTGGCCCCTTCTATTACCCATTTCAATAATGACTACCGTAACGTTTACACCCTGTAGAGACATACAAACAATGATGGTGTGATGGTGTGTGTTTTATTCACCAACCGCAACAATACTGTAATCACCCATTAATAACATCAAACGTTAAAGTCAACGTTGCAGCCGAGATATATTTACGTTTCCTTTAAAGAACATGGAAAACTGCATATTGCAGAACAACGCCATCAACATATATCAGCAATATTTCTCTGATGTGGAAGAAACGCCGATGGTGGAAAAAAGTTCAGCGAGAACGGTGAACGTCTACCAAGATCAAAGTGTCCCCACCAGGCCTATTACACACATCTCTTGGTCACCAGACAATCAAACTAAGCTGGCCATTTCACACTGCAACATGGTGTATCAGGCGCAAATACCCAAAGAATCGCCGTTTTCTTACATCTGGGAAGTAGGTAAGCAAATCGGGCGTGTAGCCATCATCGTTACCATCAAGGTTAGACAAATAATCTAGTCAAGTGCCCGGTAGCCAAATTACGTGTTTCGTAATTGAATGTCAATATTTAAGGGGGCGATTTTTAGATACATTTCAAGATTAAAAATTCATAGTAATATATGTTAACCTGCGATACATGGTGGTAAAGTTCTCTAAAATCATTCATCATTACACCTGTAATACCATTTTAGGTATTTTGATGAAATTTAGCATATGGATTAAGAGGGATTTTTTAATGCATTACATTTTCTCAGTTTCTACCAATGGCGTTCATACGGAGTTTCACCTGAATATTTTTGTAGACATTGATAGGACGCGCCTTATTTCTCTTAAAAAAATTATCTGTAACATTCCCAGTCATTTCTAAGCAAGTATGGTCTCTTGATTTTTTCAATACGACGCGCGGATTTCACAAAAAATAAAAATCGTTTCTTTTTGTCAAAGGCCTCTAATTTTGCTTGAACAATGTCAAAATAATTGTGAATGAAGTTTTATGTACCTAGAACTAGGGAACTCGTGCCGAGTCGCGTTGGGATATATCAAAATTTGTTGAATGGGGCGCGCTAGGTAACGTATTGCAGTGCTCGTTTGTTCTATTAGCAAACGCACTGTTTTCCTTCATGCAACATGTCGAAGGAATTACGCAGTTGTAGAAAGGGAATATTTTTAATAAGGGACGTAAAGCATCAAATTACCGGTTCAAAACTTCCCTCTAGCAGTTTTGTTCTATAATACCAGGAAGTGAAATTAAGTGCCAATGAGAGCGGCAGCCTTACAATTTGCAAGTGTATTATTTACTGGGAAAAGGCACGTCGGGGTTTATTGATGCAAGTTGTTCAAGATAAAAGATGGTCGCATATAATGGGTACACCAATTTTTGTGGGAAAACCTTTTATTCGGCAACAAAGAATGAGGAAAAGTGTTTTTTGGGATTCAGTTGAAAGTGTTGGCAGGAACTCTTCAACTAGATACCATTTTTCGGTATTCATGAGACCTATAAAAGGAGACCACACGTAAAAAGATCCGACTAATAGTAAAAAAGTTATGGCCGAAAAACGCAGGTTTTGGCACTAGTTGCTAATGCGACGATAATTTCACGCAGCTACTTACAATTCTTCAATACTTCTCAATAACCACAACAAAACTGGAGTCGATTGGTCAAGTAGTTTTTGAAAATTTCTAATGGTTTATCCAAAAACATAATTGCATTTTTTATGCGAAAAACGAAGGGTTGCGTTTTTTTTTCTTAACAAATTCGAACATTTTGTATATGTGAGTAACTGAACAGAAGGCGCTATTCGAAAAACATACGTTATTATATACATCAGCATTGCATTTTGTATGGTTTTCAAGAGTACTGTAATTGTGTATAACAGATTTGATATGCCTCTAGAGTTCGCTTAACATTTGACAGTCTCAAGTATGGTGGTTTAAGGATCCAGTAAAGTAAGAGGCGTCGTAGGTAATGGGAGAGATTGTCGATTGCAGAAGCGCAGGGCTTAGGTTCGAATCCACAAAGCTGCTTTATTCTCTATTATTTTTTTTAATGCGGAGAAATAAATGCTTTTTCACATTATGTGTTCACTTTATATCTTATATTATTGACTTTATATATTATCTGAGACAGAGACTTATCGGTAAAATGTGTCTATTCACGCTATTGGAAGCTTGTTTAATGCACTACAAGTTAATCACCTCAAGTTAGTGGTGAAACACAAAGATAACAATACGAAAAAATAAGCAGCATTATGGTTGGTCTGGTTAATAAATACAATCAATTAATCTTTCATATAGTTTCATTCTTTCTTTTATATCGAAGCAGCCGCGCAGGCAGAAGCCTAAACGCCGGAACACCACGGCTGCTATGATGATCCCAAAGAAATTTTATTAATACGATTTTTGAACTGCCTAAGGTTAATAGAACTTGCGAAAAGCTTCCTCTTGTAGATTGTTCCACAATCTCGACACCCTCGGGACAAAGGAGCTGTCGTACGAAGTTCGATACGGTTAGGATGTGACGCCAAAGTCAGGCGGGTCTGTCTGGCAGGCACATCGCGCGGCGGCATCATGGAAGAGAGCTCTGAGGAGCAAGGCCCGTTGGTGTAACGGTAGAAAAGAGCTAGATCGCCGACAGCCCGCCGGTGTGAAAGAGTCCCGAGACTGTCTGTTATAGAAGGGTCATCGAACAGTCGGACCGCCCTCCTCTGGACAGCATCGAGCATGGATAATGTAGTCGGGCGGCAGCACCCCAAACGTGTGAGCAATACTCGAGGCTAGGCTTTATCTGGGCATTGTATAGAGTGAGAAGCTCATGCGGAGAAAAGTACTTCTTAGCCCTAAACAAATAGCCTAGCTTTTTCCCAGCGGCTGCAGCTATTGACGAGATGTGTTCGTGCCAGATCAGGTCGTCGGTGATCTGGACTCCGACCAGCCGAAATGAATGGCTCTTTGGCAGAACTCGAAACCGGGTGAGAGCAATTGACAATCCGTACCGTTACGCTACGACGCCTCTTGGCTTAGGCCCGTATCGTCAGTCGTCAATACAATTGTAGGGCTCGTTTATGGCCTTCTTGATTTCGATAATATTACGTCTTCTTCGTTAACGCACATGTATGTCCTCCTTTTGATTTCCGACATACTGACAGTTCTGGCTTGAGGTTGTTTTGACGTTCAAGGCACATGACGGCACAACCATAATTTATAACTTTCTTGTAGACAATGTCGATCACTCAAAAATACATGGCTACATTGAACAAATTCCACAACCTGTGATATCTTCAAGATATTGATGGGTCAGGAAAATTAATGCACATGGATATATTATATTATAATATTGTATTTGTATGTATAAAATTCCAGAAGCTTGCAACCAAGCTGTTCTCTTGATGAAGCTGTATTGTACGGCTATAGATGAAAAGACGAAGGGTGCGACCTTTTCATTGGGTCACCCTGAACGTCTTTAGTGTAATATGCATGTATGCGTATTAGATCCCGTGGAGCTTCACATTGGGCATTCAAGTTAGTTATAAGAAGTAAATAAATATAAAAAAATTAAAGTCAGTAACGTAGACGTAAGACATAGATGTTTTTATGAACTGTTTTGTTCGTTTTGATAAAGTCTATCAGATTCCGGATTAAGAACCTATTAATCAAACTCTGTCCAACTGATTTATAGAAAATCCAAATCGTCCACTGTTAACGCTGAAGCCTCAGCACTCTTGCGTGTGCGTAGAATACAACCAGAAAGATCCTCACTTACTAGCGAGTGGTCATATTAACGGACTGGTAGCAGTGTGGGACACCAGAAAAGGTCATGAGCCAGTCGAATTAAGCGTCACTGAAACCAGCTTCAGAGATCCTGTGCATGATGTGTTGTGGATTCACTCTAAAACAGGAAATGAATTCTTTAGCTCGTCTACAGATGGACAAGTTAAATGGTAAGTAGAAGTTTTTCGGCGTACACAGTTACAATGTTTACGCAAATGCAATGGATAAAGGGGCGATTGAAAAAACAAACCTAATGACCTTAAGTCTTGTTCTTTTCTCTCGCGGCCTTAGTTAAATAATGCAAAACAAGGCAAAATACAAAAAAGGTCGCGCTGCATAGCAACGTTTCCAAGATGGTGGACTCCAGAATTTGTCTGCGATATAAGTACTGCATATGCAACAAGACTGATAGGTCTGTATTAATTTCACTAGTTCCACGTTTACTTTCATGAATTCCATGTCATGTGTTATCAAATCATAGAATACGTATAGATATTTCGTTAGTTATTTATCGCACAACACGACTTATGTCAGGTTTATAGTCTGACCTAACCGAAATAAGTTAGCTTTCCTCATATGGCATTAGCTTAGATTGAGTTAATTTTGGTTAATTACGTTTATAAGCCCACTATTATATGATCCATAATCTAGCAACTAATCTAGCCTAAAGCCAATTTCCATAAGAAACCTGCCGGGTTTTTTGTGGTGAAATTGGTGCTCTGCGCAAACATAGTAGAACTGTATATCCTCAGTATTAAAAATATTATATAGAAATCATGAAATCGCCAATTTTATACATTTTCAAAGATATACTAATTCCGGCCAAGCAGATTGAACGGCTCTTCTCGCAGAGTAGCCTTCTACCACTTACCTGCTAGGATGGAACAATTATAATAGACTCAAAGGCTTAAAGGCCTTTTGTCACGATATGAAACTTTGTGCTAAATTTCGTACAAAATTTTGTGCTAAATTTCGTATAACTTTTGTGATAAATTTCGTACAAAACTAAGGATAGTGTCAGACAACATTCAGTACATAATTCTGTATGAACAGTTTTAGTGCTAAATTTTGTAGAAACTGTTCTAAATAATATCATACTAAAAGTGCACAAACGACTACTGCGAATTTGAAGCAGTACAATGGCTGATATAACCTTAAACACTTTCATTAGTTGATGTTATCATTTGTGTTCATCAGTTTCGCGAAACTCCTCTGCTTATGATGTTCTACTTATAGATTGAAAACTTAAAAGATGTCATAATGAAAAGAGCAGTGTGACTATTACTAAACGAGTATGAGAAATATGATAGCTTATATGCTTTTAAAATCAAGGCCTATAAAAGAAAAAGAAACGACAAATAAGCTGCTTTGGAAAAAATCAGAATGACATAAGAACGAATTAGGCTTCTAAGCCAGTGGAGCTTGCACTGGAAGTCCTTTATGCAACATATGGAGCACACACATTGTAGTGGACAGCTACAACGCAGATCGCTGCTGCCGCAGTCGCATACGAGTATAATGTATGCGAATTACGTGATCCTTCATTTTCTACAATTTTCTATTCGTTTAAAAATGAAGGAATAAGGTTACAATCGCACAGGAAAGGTGGTTAGAATGACTTTTACATGATAAATGGCAGCTAGAAGTTGACAGTTATAGGTTTTTTCTACCAACTGCACATGATTTCGTACGAGATTTAGTACAAATTTTTGTTTACGTGACAGGATTGGAATTTTTGAACAAATTGGCAATTAAATTCTGTAAAAAAATTCCTCACAAAATTTGGTACTAAATTTAGGACAAAATTTCGTATCATGATAGACGGCCTTAAAGGTAGATGGCAAATAACAAATTTTTGTACCAAATTTTGTACGAAAACTTGCACAGAAAACTATAACTACCAACTTCGAACTGCAGACTGTGCGATGTGCTTGCCTGACTTCAGCCTACCATCCTAACCGTTTTGAACATAGTACATCGATAACTAGCGAATACGAACGTTCCTTTTCCCCAAAGTATTGAGATTGTTGAACAATCTACCTGAACAGGATTTTAACAGTTCTAATAACCTTAGGCAGTTCAAAGATCGGATTAACAAAGCTTCTTTGCTTCTCATAGCAGGCAGTGCACTAAAAATATTTTTGAATTTTCTTAATTGGTACTCGCCATCTGGAAATCTCGAGCTGGAGAATGTAAGTATGCATCATTGGCCACAGAAATACGACGCCGAAACTCATTGAATTTCACGTGCTTGCCGAATTTTAACCTGTTGCTTTTGTACGTCGTCGGAAAAAGGTGTGGTTCCCAAGAGAATGGGCTACAACCAGGGCCGTATGCTCCGCTGTTCGATTTTCGTCCGCCGGCGCGCATGACGTCACGCAGAGAGTGATTATCATTTGGGTTGATAACGTGCATATTTTCACCTACAGGCCAAACGTCTGGACGGATTTTCACATATGAGATGTCGTTGGATTCGTCTTAGCAGTGCGAGTGTCACTAGCTACATTGAAATTTTATAAAAAACAAAATGGTGGATTTTAATAAAAGATTTCAACCTTGTAATTCCTACTTCATAGGCTACAGATCGAACGGCTTGATAGATTTTCACATATGAGATGTCGTTGGATTCGTCTTAGCGGTGCGAGTGACACTGGCGACATTAAAATTTTATAAAAAACAAAATGGTGGATTTTAGTTAAAGGTTTCAACCCTGTAATTGCTATTTCACAGGCTATAGCTTAAACGGCTTCTAGCTCCACAATAGGCGTTAGGCGTATCGTCTCTTCACTGTAAAAACAAAATAACTCTATTTTTCTACATTACCTATATTTTAGTATGTTCTGTGGAGCAGGATTAACATGTTCATGTCATAATACTGTACTACATTTATCTTTATTCCACAGAACATCCTAAGTACATGTAAGTCTGAAAATGTACGCAGCTCGAAAAGTATAAAAATGGAGTTATCTTCTTTTTGCAGTAAGGTGGTGGTATAACAATAAATGGAAATGGCTTAATATAAGCAACAATTTTTTTCCATTTCCTTTTACGATTTTTCTGGTCTTTCAAACTTTTAGTCAGTTCTTTGATCCGGAAGAACATCCTTGACCTGAAAAACAGTTTTTTAGCTTTTTCAGGGCAGTCAATGTTGCTGCTCTTCAACAGAAGTTCACCTATAAAATTTTGCTTTTTTGTCACTATTCCGTCCCCATTGAATGTAGTGAATACCTTGTTCAGCTTCTCAATTTGATTCATGAATGTTGCGGAAGGTTTTGATAATCCACCCTCACTAAGATGGTCTATCCATGAATAAGTTTCATTTGAGGAACTTTTCAACCTCTCATCCTGCAATTTATTGCAAACAAAGCCGGCCAAATTTGCCATCCCCTCATACTCGAGCTCATCTATTTCTTCCACTAAAACTTGATCGGTATAGTCAGCTGATACTTCAGGTGCATTCAGTTTATTCTCGTTAATGATGCGGTTAGTGGTTAGTGGAATGTCTGGAGTATCCTCTGACTCTACGCTGCAATAGGTACTCTGAGTATGTGCCTTCGTTTCGGCCCAACATATATGACCTTATTCTATACTTAAACTCTAGAGGACTTGTATGGTTATGAAGACCATCTTTTGCCCTAATTACTCCGAAAAAGTTTTCTATCACATCTTGATTAAGACGTCTTGTTAACAGGTATTGGACGCTGAAGCGTCGTTTCAGATCCTCTAGAGCATTTTCTAGCAAACCCTAGCGCTTTTTACATTTACTTTGTGTTATCTTTTTGTGAGATGTAGCCATTTTATTGCTAAAGTTTGGATCTTGAGGAAAACTGTGGAACTTCATGTCTTTGAGAAGATTCCGTTTAGATTGATTGTCGGAATTACATCCCACAACAGAACACCGCATTTTTATCAATTTATCAACCACACAGGGTATATAAGGTATGTATAACTAATACAACAAGTCACAAAACCACCAAAAAACACCAACAAATCGCACGTTATAGTATTAACCAGGATACACGTGAAATGCAGTAACGTTACGACAATCCTGCCGCTGGTAACCACGAGCCGATAACTCTCCGGGTGACGTCACGATGCTCCGCCCACATGCGCAATATCCCATATTCAGTGTATGTGTATCGTGGGCTACAACCGGCTAGAAAATAGCCACAACGCTGGAAGGGTATAGATGGAGGTTTTTCTCAATGTCTTCACACTCCGAAGAGATTAAAATCTCATAAAAATGGAGGGAGTAGCACCAAACAACAATCAAAACTGATAAAGGTAAGGTAGGTAAGAAAGAGGGTACTACTCCATAAACTGGTGATTGGGCCCAATATCTCAAAATTTGGGAACAAAATGAAGGGCCGATACACATTCTTGACCAATGCTTCATCAGGAAAATGGCCAATGGCCGTCAGTCAGTTAACTGTCAATCAATGTCAAAAGTAGGGCGTTCCAAAATTCGACATTCCACAGGATCGATTAAAAAATTCAATTCCCTAACCAAACGGTCTAATATTCTGTCTAGACGTAGCGAAACAAAGTTTCGCCTAAGTAAAACAAATCAATCCCAAATACCTGACAAAGGCGTTCAGAAAGAAAAGTTCGCAACCGAAGCTACATGTATGTACAACATCACTGGTTGCCTATGGGTAGACCCTAGAAAGATCTCAACTCAACACTGAGTCTCTAAGAATAAAAGAAAGATATAATATGTGTGAAAGTATACTGTCAGGATTAGGTAGTTTCGTGCTGAATAGATTTATAAATTATGAAATTTGGCAAAAGATCATTGAAAAGGGTTTGTCCTAGGATTCAGTACTGTATCATTAAAGGCTGGATGCAGCCAGAAGGCGGTCAGGCGTTCCGAGTTCAGAGTTCTGCGTTCTTTGTAACCGAACATTCCAGGCAACCCTGTTCTGAAAACCAAACGATTTACAGTACTATAAATATTTTCCAGGTGGGATTTGCGCAAATTAGCAGAACCAACAGAAACATTGATACTGGACCATACTCGAGACGAGGAGCAGCAATTAGCTAATGCGCTGGGCGCCTCGGTTCTAGAATATGAAAGCACGATTCCTACTAGGTTCATGGTTGGTACTGAACAAGGTATCGTTATCAATTGCAACAGAAAAGGAAAATCGGCGTTGGAAAAAATGACTTCAAGGTAACGATTACGTACGCATCATGTCTACACAAATAATACATACAGGGTGTTTCAAATTCAACGCTCACCATTGGTATCTCGGAGACTGTTAGGATACGAAGTCGCTGAAGTAGGGGCAAAGTTGTACTTCTGAAGAATCAGATATCTGAATAGTTCGAAGGTAACAATTTATTATGTTTAGTTATCGTACCAACAGATCAACGAAAGCAGCAATAAACGATTTTATCAGTTCCATCAACAAATATCTGCCAGATAACATGATCTTACAAAAGCATTTGATAGCGTCCAACATCACATTTTGATTCAAAAGCGGTCGCTTTATGGTTTTAGTAGTAACAGTATCCTTAACCCAGTCTTATTTACCAGACATAATTGTTTATCTAACACTGTACATATTAACCACTTAGTTCCCCAAGGAAGTGTCTTAGGATCGATTCGTTTTTTCATCGATATCCTCCATTCTTAATTTTGACCAGATATTACTCGATTCTTAGCAGCATTTTGATAACATACAAAACTGGTTTAAGGAAAACAGATTGTCTCTCAATATAGCAAAAACTTAGTCTCTTCTACTCAGTACACATCCACATAAAAGTAATTTAGTAGAACCCGTGAAATTCCTAGGGGTGTTTATTAATGCGAACCTAACTTGGGAATCACACACCACCACTTTATCAAAGAGCTTATATGATCCATAGTTTAAATACCTACGTAGCAAAATCGACTTTGATGACAGCCTATCAACTCACAATACTGCATACTGATTTGGGGACATTCATCTCATGTATCGAAGGTGTTTCCTGTTTAGAGACGATGCTTGAAAATAATAACAAGCTTACATTCCACACAGTTTTGCAAGATGGCATTTATTAATCTAAAGATTTTATCTGTACCATGCATGTATGTATATACTAGAATGTCTGATCCATGTTAAAAATAATTACGATGATTACAGAACTCCGAAAGGGATTCACAAATATAACACAGTTTTTATTTCTCGAAATTTTTCTAATAAAGGGATTCACAAATATAACACAAGGTTCAATAATGAATTAATACCAGAATACACAAGACAATTAAAAACTAGACACGGCAGTAATTATTTCAGCACAAAATCCTTTAACGCGCTGCCCAGGTTTTGACAAACATTCAGCTCAACAATTTTTAAAACAACTGCGAAAAGAGATTTAGTGACGAAAGCGTTTTACACCATAGACGACTTTTTAAATAACGATTTTACTAACTTTGTTCCATAATTGTTGTTTTATTACTTAGTTTTTGTTTTCGATTTTGTTTTTTAAAGTGTAAGTGCTACTTTTTGTATTACATTTCATTGTTCTACTGCTGACGTTTTTCGACGTGTGCAAGCACTTTTGTGTACAAACACCAATAAATTATTATTATTATTTCTCCCTTTCGCTTTCCCTTTCATTGGGAAGATATCACTTTTCCTACCGAAAGTAAACCATACTCCTAGGGCAGGTAAGTTTTGTTTTCAAGTTACTGTTTTTCGTACAATGTGTGCTGTTTTAAGTATTACCGTTTTTTTGTAAGCTTTTCAGGAACTTATTCTATCTTTTGTGACATGCTTCTTGTTATAATACCAGTTACACCTATAATGATCGGTATTATATTTGCCTTCATATCCCACATTCGTCATATCTGAATCTCCAGGTCTTTGTATTTATTGACGTTTTCGAATGACATTGTAGTCAGATGGTACAGCAACGTCTACAATAATGCAGGTTTTATTGATCTTGTTCTTTATGATAATATCTGGCTTGTTTGCGAGAATATGCCTGTCTGTTTGGATCTGTATGTGATAAAGGATTGTTACGTTTGATGTTTCCATCACTGGCTCTAAAAAGCTGAAAAGCTTGGGCTCAACTGAGAGTAATGAATATTTATCCCCAGAAACACATTGAAATACCCTATGATCTATTAGACCCTAACGAAGTCAATAACCACTTCTTGTTAAATTACCAATCTTACCAATCTTAATATCAATTCCCGTTTGATTGACAGTGTAGTAGAGTTTTATGAGAACAGCTTTAACAGGCAAGATGTAACTCCATTTACATTTAGAATGATGACCGCTGAAGAAATTTTGGACATAGTCACCTCTATCAAGTCACCTGCTACAGGGAGTGATGGAATTAACTTGAACATACTAGGTTACTGCTTAGACAGACATATTAATACCATATTAGTGATGATTGATTTCTCAAAAGCCTTTGATACAGTTAATCACAAAATCATGTTGAGCAAGCTGACGTATATTGGACTATCTGATATTCCGCTAAGATTTTTCCAAAGCTACTTGGCTGAAAGAAAACATTTAGTTAAGACGGTTAAGGGAGTCTCTTCTAGTACTGTGGTTTCGTCTGGCTTTCCGCAGTGGTCAGTTCTGGGACCTCTGCTATATTTAAATTACACAATAAACTCATGTGTTCTATACAAACGTATGCTGATGACACACAATGATCATTTCACTTCGAATATGCTCAGATGAATGAAGTGTCGTTTAAAATTAATACTGACCTAATCAATATTACGGATTTTTGTAAAAAGCACTGTCCCAGGATCAATCCTGAAAAGAGTTCAAGTATGCCTTTTTCTCCGAAACACATGTATAATAACATAAAGGACGCAATTGTACTCATTATAAATAACGAGCGCATCCCCATGGAGCATTCTAAAAACCTGGGTGTTATCTTGGACTCCAACTTGAAGTTTGATAGACACATCGGTTACCTGTCTCAGAAAACGGATGCCAACTAGGAAAAAATTAGTTGAAAGCTTTCCAACATTCTCTGATTTTATTCTATTCTTATTTGGATTCGTCGGATCGGTATAGGTTACAAAAAATTCAAAACGGCTACTGCAGGTTTGTGTTTGGACTTTGTAAATATAGTCATGTCTCTTCGAAAATTAGAGATTTAAATTCGTTAAAGATGGAATCACAGTTTGTTTATGCTATGAAGGTGTTTGTCCATAAAGTAGTTCGCACAAAAAAGCCACCGTAAACAATAGTACCTTTCAGAAACAGAAACAGCTGATAAGATATTAACAGTTCAAGTGTGCATTTGTTAATTTTTTTTTCATATTTTTTCATATTACCCTGTTGGCTCGTGTGTGCGTGTTGACAACACGTTATCTATTTAATTCATTTACTTACATTTCTTTTTCTTCTTATTATTACTATTGTTTGTTTGTGTATCTAGTTTAACTATGTTACTCTTACGCACACAGTGAGGTTAAGGCCCGTATCGTCAGTCGTCCCTACAATTGTAGGGCGCGTTTATGGCCTCCTTGATTGTCATACTCTTTTCTCGCCTTCAAAAATTTCTAGATTATACTCGTCCCGTGTCAGCGTCACAAACATCTATTTGCATCAAATTATGCTTGCTTTTGAGTTATATCATGTTTTATCAGCCTGAAATTTCCTACAATTTAAAAAGAAAACATATCTTCACAATAGGAGAGCGCTGACGCTGACACGGGACAAGTGTAATCTAGAAATCTTTGAAGGAGAGAAAGGAGTATGACAATCAAGGAGGCCATAAACGCGCCCTACAATTGTAGGGACGACTGTCGATACGGGCCTAAGTGTAAGAGTAGCCATTTGGCTAAACTTCGCCACACTGATGTATGTGTATTAATAAAGACATTTATTATCATTATTATTATTATTATTATTATTATTATTATTATTATTATTATTAATTGTGGAGATACCACTTGTCACATACTATGACTCCAAAATAACGTACATATGTTATAATGTAGGTGATTAACAACATTGTTATGCCTGTCGAGGTATTCGTTATTAGCCTGACATTATACGTTGTATCGTTTCATTTTCAGCTGTACATAATCTACATTTTGGATCATCCGTTGTGTGAAGTATTTTGGTTTTATAGTAATTTGTTACTATAGCTTGATCCTGACATGCCATTATCAGATCTTCTGTTTCGCTTTTGATATCTCCACTTTGAAGCCAACACCATGTGCTACGTGCGTCGACATATTTTTTGCAATGCTTTTGGATACTGCCCATGCAGATTCTAGCTACTCTATTTCTCTTTCAGCTATCTATGGAATCTCTCTTTTGTTCTACCCTTAATTTCTTTTACTCTGTTAGTGTCTTCGTTGTTTTCGTTGGTTTTTCTATTCTCTCGTCTTCTTGCTGTTGGTTTAAGCTGCATTCAATTGACTTGAATATCATTTTTGTTGACTTTGTATCCTGCTTTTGAGGCATTCAGTAAAGTTGTTAGTGGTATGAGTGACATACAGAATAGCAAAGGAGATAAGGAGTCACTTGGGAAGATTCCATTATTGATGCTGATGTTTTTAACTTCTACATTGACTGTGCTGCTTCTCAGTTCCACGTCGGTATTCCACATCTTCATGGATGTTTTTATGAAATCAACTAGTGTACTTGAAACGCCGTATATATTCAATATTTCCGAAAGCCAAGTGTGTGGATTACTATCAAATGCCTTTTGGTAATCTATCCAGCAAATGCTTTTCTTCTTCTTACAATCTTCAATTAGGGCCTTACTCAACATAAGGTGATCTTTGGTTCCATATGAATTTCTAGCGCAACCCTGTCTCCCAAAGGTTTATGCAACGATGGCAGTTTCTTCAGGCAATAATTATGTACGTCATCATCATCATTATTATTATTATTATTATTATTATTATTATTATTATTATTATTATTAAAAAACCCGAATTTTCCCAAAGGCGTTTTAATTTTTCCTGACTTGATTTGTAGAAAAAAATTGCACATCAACATTGCCACTTTTCTCCTCTGCAAGATGGCATAATTAGAATTTCAATATGACGTTTCGTTTCTTGTCCCCCAGCATCAACTTTATTTTTTTATGCACGCCATATTGGATTTTTGCACAGATGGATAGAGTTTTGAATTCTAATTCCAAAAATGCTTAATACCTCATACATTGACATTGCCCAACCTTAGTTATTTCAAAAAAGCAAAATTGTCTTAATAAGCCTTGAAACAATCAGATAGTCATTTGTTTCGCAAGCCAGTTTTATCCCAAAATCACTTTTATTTTTTCCTGTCATTTGAGACAGGATTTCAAAATAAATTGCACTTTGAATTTCGAAACTTTCTAAGCGGCATTTTCTTAACTACCTAAATACGCAACTTTACCCCCATTTAAGTGACTTCGTACATATCTCTTACAAAGTTTCCGAGATCCCAATGGTGAGGGTCTAACACCCTGTATAGCGGTATAATCTCTCGAGTTATCTCACTCCTCATTATTGACTAGGATTTAGAAGCTACGTTCCCAAATTTCGCTTGAAAGAGTCCACAAATTTGTACATATTCCCTAGATTTGTTTAATCCCTCTGAAGCGGTATTGGTTGCAAGACGATAGCATTACTGACACCCAGAACTTTATTTACTTTAACCGAAACTTTAGCCGATTCTACCAAAGGTTTAATTATTGTCGTTGTCACTTTTCCTTATATTGTCCTCTTGTCTGTTATATTTGAAGATATACGTGCCAGTTTGGTCCAGTCCTAGCCCTCCAAAGAAATCCAGGATTTGTGAAAAATTTCCTCACCATCGGTGATTGGACGGCAAAGATTTGGTCAGAAGATTGCAGAGAAAGCTGCATCATGTGGACTTCTTTCCATAAAGCAATGCTGACACACGGAGCCTGGAGTCCAACAAGGTATTTATCGATTCATTCATGATTGTTAACAAACAATAACATTTGTCTTTTAGTCAGGTTCGTGTGTTTTACATGCTCAGTAATCAGTGGCGAAGCGTCCATGTAACTATTGTTATCATTGGTAACAGTTTAAAATCTTAAAAATAAATATTTTATGACTAAGTACTGTGAAATAATTTCATTTATTTGTTTACCAACAGCGGTATGTAATAGTAATTCAGTAAATAGCAAATTAGCCCCACGAAAATAATGCGCACTATAGTGTCTAGGTTTTGCGAACACCATGAAGCTGTCTTGCCTCGACTTGGTTGTCGGTTCCGTTGTTATCATTTTCATTTATGGATACACTTGGTAGTCCGTCGGGGACCGTCGGAACCGGCTCGTGTCTGATCGCGGTCGCCCGAGTGCGTGGGGCGCTGAGACTATTATGTGGGCTTGTTACCATTTTTTGATTTGGTTACTTACTTCTCACTCGTTAGTAGCCGTTTTGGTTACCGGCTGTAGTGTGCGTGCAATTAAACATGGATGAGTGTCGCTGGGTAATCGATCAACTACTTGAAAAGTTATTCTCCTTGTATAATTTTTAAGAAAAAAATGAGATCATTGAAAACGACTATCTTAGATAATTTGAAAAAGGAATAAAAAAACGTAGTTTGATATTTTAAATTAAGTTGGTATATGGAAACTCTTGGTTATGTGGTTGCAAAAACCAAATTGTATTGTTGGCGATGTCTTCTGTTTTATACAGAAAAAAATGGGTGGACCAGCAGCGGAATCAACGATTTAAATGGTTTTATGGCTCTAAAGAGGAGACATGAAATTTCTCCGTTACATGTAACATGTGTAGCCAATTTACCTCATATTGGCAAACAATCGAAAGTTTTTTTAACCAAGCTTTTAGGCAGTACGGTTCTAGATACCGTATGTTTTTTGGCAAAACAGGAATTACCGTTCATTTTGAAGGGGATGACTCTGACAATAGAGGAAATTACAGGGGATTATTAACATTTATTGCCAAAAAAGATCAAAGATTTTCCGAACATTTAGACACGTCGACTGTTTTTTCGGACGGCTTGGATTAGTCATAGCATAAGACGATTAGGTATATCAAGTGCCCCAGACGCTCAGTCCAGGAATGTTTACCCTAATTTGAAAATAGTTTAAATAAAATACCTAAAATAAGCTGACAGTAATATAACAACACGTAAAGCGATATGGGATATCATCTACTTAGACAAAATATTGATATGGACATTCTTGTGTATGTAATTTGGAGTGGCGATTATGTATTAATACATAGTTGTAGATTTTATTATACGAACGAATCTAATTTACAAACATCTCCTGAAACTAACAAAGATATGATATAAGCAACATATTTTGAAGACATTATTTTGATATGAAAAAAATGATCATTTGAAAAATATACTTTCCAACTTTAAAAAATTTGATTAATGCCTTAAGAAAACTATAAATGTTACCATAGGCATGTTCGTTACGGATCGGCTTGCGCAAAGTGAGAATGAGGCACAAAACATATGGAAAATGGGCCCCAGCCGATTTTTCTAAAAATTCAGTATTATATACACGGTCAATGAAAAGGTCGCACCCCCATTTGTGACTTTCCTGGTATATTTTTGGAAAAACGCTCGGACACGTCAATTTTAATTTCTAGGGGGTCGTCTTTACATCTATATCCGTACAATACAAGGTGATCCAAAAATAAGATGTTGCGTTAAACTTTAGATTTTTAAATGGAAACCCCCATTTTTCTATTTTTATATTCTCTATGGAGTTGTTAGTGACTTTTGTATAATAAATTTGAGTTTATAATAAACTTCTATAAATTGTTATAATAACGGATTATATCGTAAAAATAATAATATAGTTCCCATAGTAACAAAACTCAAATTTAAAATTGAAAACAAGACTCCCAGTTTTAAAAAAATAAAAAACAACTTACAGTTTACACTCACATTAAAGTTGAAGTAAAAATTAATTTGTTATAAAGAGGTAGGTTAATATGGTAATAAGTGCACAAGATTTTGTTTGACTCTATTCCTCACAGTTTCAAGCATGTCTTGAGTTATTTTTTTGCGTTCAGCCGTAATCCGCAGACGAAGATCTTGGATGGAATCTATCTTCGTTATAACAACTTTACTTTTCAAATGCCCTGAAAGAAAGCAATGGCAAGTAAAGGACCTAGGTCCGGAGATCTCGGCAGCCACTCGATGGGGCCTCGTATGCCGATCCACTAATTCGGAAAATGGGTGTCCAAAAGCTGCCTTACTAGAGGCATATAGTGTGGCGGTGCACCATCTTGTTGGAAAGGAATGTAATTTTCATTATAATTAACGACAAGTGCTACGTGTCTCTAAACTATTTCTGCGGCTTCATTTCTGGCTGGTCGACTTTCTCGATGGCGATTACGGCGAATATTAGACACAGATCCAGTTTCTTCAAATTTTCTTCTCAAGTTAGCCACATACTTACAGTTAATATTTTTGTCTGGCTGTAACGGATTAAGCAGCCGCTCGAGTATTATGTAATTAACCTATCAAACGTCAAAAAGAACCTATAAAATGTCATCTTGCAGACTACGTAGTAGTAATGGTGCAAACAGTCATTCCACGTTTGCTCACTAGGATCGTTGTGAGCGTCCATCTAGAGAGGAATAGCTCAACTACATGCTTTGTTGGTTGCATACGTTTTATGAAGCCGAGTAATATACTAAGTGACATTTAAATCCGAACACCCAGTTTAAATGGTTTTATTTTAATAAAAGTTGGTGAATGTATTTATCTTATTGTAAATAACAAGTGAACAAATTTTCAGCCTTATCAGTTGGACATTCCGGTTTTTATACTGCTTTTTTTTAATTCACTAACGTTCTAAAAATGAATATTTCAGCCGCAGTAAAGAATCAACGTTGGTGGATTTCGGTTCTTGACATCCTTTACGATCGGTTACGATGCCTAGAGTACGGAGACCTGTACGATTTCGTCAACTTAGTGAGTTTGATATGGGCCGTATAGTGGGACTTCGGAAAGCTGGACTTTCTTTTTGGGTAATTGCAGTTAGAGTGCAAAGAAGTGTAGACACTGTGGTTAGGTGTTGTCAGGCATGGCTTCGAGAAGGCCGTACGCAAATGGTTTGCAGAACACGGAAGACCTATTGGCATGCGGAGTGTTTACCGACGAATGATAAGTTTTGGCTTGTTTTCATACCGGCCACACTGGGTCCTCCCTTTAACTCGAGAACACCGACGTAATCGCCTTGAGTGGTGCAGACAACGGTCACTCTGGGATCAGGAATGGAACAGTATTGTCTTTAGTGACGAGTCTCGATTTTGTTTAGGCATGCACGATGGTCGTGCCAGGGTTAGAAGGCGACGTGGTGAAAGGAGGAATCCACAGTTTTTTGTTGAAAGACATGCTCATCACACTGTTTGAGTTATGGTTTGGGGTGCTATAGCTTATGGTTCCAGGTCACCTTTAATCTTCATCAGAGGTAACATGAACGCGCAGCGTTATATCCACGAAGTTCTAGAACCCCATCTTTTACCCTATCTTGACACCCTGGCAGATCCAACTTTCCAACAAGATAATGCCCGACCACATGTTGCAAGAGTGACAATAGACTTCTTTCAACATAATGATGTCACATTGTTACCATGACCACCAAGATCTCCCGACTTATCCCCAATTGAGCACGTGTGGGATATGATGGGTAGGAGATTGCTTAATTTGCAACGTCCTCCTCAGACTCTAGAAGCACTTCGAGAGGAGTTGGTGGTTGCCTGGAATGAGATACCACAGGAGGACATTGACCACCTGATCAGAAGCATGCCTAGGCGCGTTGGAGAATGCGTAGCACATCACGGTGCATCCACACATTATTAAAGGTCAAAGGGCTTTAAAGCAGTGCAATCATTTTGAAATTTACTTATTATGCTTCATTAAGTACTAATACAGAATTTTATTAAAATAAAACCACCTAAACTGGGTGTTCGGATTTATATGTCACTTAGTATATATAGTTTTCATCTCTGAGAAGAAAGTTGGTTTAATAGCAAGATCGCATCTGGATGAGTGTGTGTATTAGTCTGCATGTATATAAAATCAGTGATATTCGTTGTGTGAGAAAATCATTACGGAATATGCTGTCAATGAAGTATATATCTATTACCTGTGCAAGACGGGTTATTCATGCGCTGTCTCTTCTGCAGTCAGTTTGTGTTGAAAGTTATAAATTACGATTTTTTACGTTTTTTTGTATTTACAAAAACTTTGAGGAGAATTACGGGGTCACCACCGCGCCCACGTTGTGTGTAATTACTATTAGCATGTATATATATATATATATATATATATATATATATATATATATATATATATATATTGTAATTCAATAGTTTACAGTGAATATAATTATTTCTTGACTCTCTCATTTTTGAAATTCAGCAAATTTGCATATGTAATTTCCAGAGTGCGGAACTAATTTGTAGCTTTGAATCTCAAGTGAGTGTATTTGAGACAAGAATCCAATGGAATTATCATCAACACATATTATTAGCACACAAATCATCACTCTGCACGTATGTATTGTCGTTAGCTCCAGTAATGCCATGTCTGAAACAGATTTTACGTCACATCAGATCCAAACATTGACAACTAAAGCCTCGTGACGTTTAGGCAACACATACAACTACAAAACTATTTGACAACGTGTCTATCAGCTTGTAGACAAACTTACATAATGTAACAAAGAATCGATATGTCAAAAAAAACTATATAACGTCACTTTTCAAGATACGTAATACCCGTGCCGATCTTGCAATGCTCCCATTTTGGTAATTTTGTCACTACTAAGTAGGTAATTTATGAATTTGAAATAAAAGACAAATTTTTTGTATGATATACGATGACACTGACTGATGCTAAATGGTCTTGCTGGTATCCATGATACTTTAGTTAACTTAAGTTAGTCGAATTTTATTATAAACTCAAATACCTTCACAGCGATTGAAAATAGGTATACACTTTATTATACAAAAGTTACTATAAACTTCATGGAAAATCTAAAAATTAAAAAATGGGGGTTTCAATTTAAAAGTCTAAATTGTAACGATGTATCTTATTGAATCACCCTGTATTGTGCGGCTATAGATGAAAATACACCAAATGGGGGTGCGACGTCTTCTTTAGGCCACCCTGTATACCTTTCCTTACCCAACAAAGGTGCCCATCCGTTATACGCCATGTGTAAGGTTGCAGGGTCGGCACCCCAAGAAACCTTCCCAAAAATTTTTAAAAGTTTTATTCCCCTATTAGCCTTATTTATCATATTGTCTATCTGTGCGCTCCATTTTAAATTTTTATGTAGTATGACCCCTAAGTATTTCGTTTGCTTTTTGCGCTCTATATTTTCATTGTTAATTTTTATTATTGGTGTGGACCGCATTCGATTACCTTTCGTAAACCATATCGCTGAACTTTTTTCCACTGATATTTCAAAGGTGTGGCTTTTCATCCAAACGGTTACTCTTTCCAGATCCTCGTTTAATGTTTCCGCCATTTTGTCTATTTTGTTATCGTTGATCATCAGTGCCATATCGTCTGCGTAGGTGACTAAATGTATGTGTTGTGGTAATATTGAATATAATCCATTTATATATATGTTAAACAATAGTGGGTTTAGGGGGATCCCCTGAGGAAGGCCTAGTGAGGTGACCTTTGGGCCATCTATATTGTTTTCATTATCTATTGTATATAATAATAATAATTAATGTCTTTTATTTGTAATATTTTTACAGGAGGCGAGATTTAGATTATATATCTATTCTACCATCTAACCCCCTTACAATACTAGATGTAAAAAAGAAAAAAAAAGAATTTGTTGAAAATTAATAGGCACCTGTATACAATAACGAATAATCCAAGTAAATACATAAGGAACATATGAGGACACTTATTTCGCTGCTGATCAAGAAGAACTTCTTTCACTTTTTTCTTGAATTTGGATAATGGATTGGTTTCTTTTAAACTGCGGTCTAAAGAATTATATGATTTGATCGCATTGTAAATGTATGAATTCTGAGATAGAGACGTGCTGTGGCGTGGAATTGAAAAAGTCTCTCTATATCTAATATTAATACGATGCATATTCCCTCTACGTATGAATTTGTTTACTAAATATGACGGTGTTTTTGAATAAAGAACCTTGTGAGTTAGATTTAGGAGCTGGTACTTATACATTTTATCAATTTTCATCCATTTGAGTTCATTAATGGCATTCGATATATGATCATATTTTCTGAGATCATTTACAAGCCTGCAACATGTATTCATAATACTTTGAATACGATTTGTTGTTATAATATCTAAATAGGGATAGTAAACCACTAAGCAATACGATATCTTTGAAAATACGAAATATTCACACAATTGCTTTCTCGCAGATTTATGTAATAGCGCCTTATTTGCAAATAAAACTCTGAGAATAGCGTAGCACTGAGTAATTAGATAGTTCACGTGTGCAACAAATTTTAAGTCATCATCCATTATAATACCTAGGTTTTTCGAATGATCCACAGGAATTAATTTATTACCCTTTAAATATATGTCTATGTCCTTTCTTAAGGTATTCTTTTTTGTTCTATTTGCGTATACTAACATATTTGTCTTCAAAGGGTTCAAACGAAGATTATGACTACTACTGAACTTTTCAATTTGGACAAGATCTTGATTAATTTTATTATTTGCCGTTTCCAAGTCATTACGCCTAAATGAATAGAAAATTTGAGTATCATCTGCAAAAAATTGTATGCTGCATGATTTTACCTATGTTTCTAAGTCTGAGATATATAATGAAAATAATAGCGGTCCTAAGACTGATCCCTGTGGTACACCAGAACAAATTTTTTGTTCCGTAGAGTACTGTTGATTTAGACGAACTTTTTGATACCGATTTTCAAGGGTAGGTTTGAATAAACGAAAGAGGTTTATCAGAAAATCCATAGTAACTGCATTTAGATACAAGAAGTGAGTGATTAATGGTGTCAAATGCTTTAGTAAAGTCAAGAAGTATGAGAGCTACTGCTTTTTGGTTATCAAGTGCCATTGTTATATTGTCTGTTAAATCACAGAGTGCCGAAGCTGTGTTATGACCTTGTCGAAATCCAGATTGTTTAGATGGAATAATTTTGTTACAATATAAGTAGGCGCAGAGCTGCTCGTAAACAACGCGTTCCAATACTTTAGAAAAAATTGGCAGTAGACTGATCGGTCTCAGTTGACCATAGTTAGTAGGGTCAGAACACTTAGGTAGCGGAATAACTACAGCGCGTTTCCACTGATTGGGGAAATATCCCCTCTCTAAACAGCAATTTATAATATGCGTTAAGTACACATCAATTTCAGGTATACATACTAGTATCACATGCAAAGTTATTTCATCTGTACCACTAGAATTTGATTTTATTTTATGTATAATTTTAACAACGGTGTCAATAGTCACTTTATTAAATTGAAATTTGAATTTGGGTTATTTTTATTAGCTCGGTAATATGCAATTTTATCAGCACAAGCCAAATCACTATTCTCGGAAATTGAAATGAATGCCTCATTTATTTTATACGGATCTGACAAGCTCACGGGAATTGTAGAATCTTTCTGAGATTGTACTTTGAAGGTCTTTAGGGTCTTATAAAACTTTTTTATATCCTGATTTTGAACAGCTTGTAAATAATCTTTTGCCTCTTCGCACGAGCGTTAATGCACGATTTCTGAAATATGTATACTGTTGCCAAGAGGCGGCTGTACGATCACGTTTGAACTTTGACAAAGCTTCAGCCCTCTGCTTGAATACAAGTTTAATATTATCATCCAACCAAGGAGCTGGAGCTTTGTTTACACGCACTACCTTTTTTGGACAGTGAACATTAAATAAACATAAAATACTATCTGTTAAAAAGTTAATTTTATCTTCAATGTCATCTATCGATATAATATGCCACCATGGAAAACTCTTGAGATCTTGTTCAAACGCTATTTCATTTAAACTATGGAAATCCCTGAATGTTACAAATTTCTGTTGATTTTTAGGAAGTGCAATACGTATATCACAGAAGGTTAAATAGTGATCAGTAATGATATCAGCATTAATAGTGGCACTCCTAAGACAACTTTCAGGCTTGCTCAAATAAATAGGATCTAAGAGAGTGAGTGTCGATTCAGTTATCCTAGTCGGTTCAGATATCACCTGTTTCAGATTATAAGAAACAAGGCATTTAGTCAAGCTGTTACAAACTAAAAGCAAATTAACATTGATATCCCCTGCAAGGATGATATCATCATATTCAGCTAATATGGCAGGCAACATGTTATCAAAGGTATTACCGGCTTCTGTAACAGAGCTATGTGGGGGCCGATAGAATATACCAATAGCAATTTTTTGTTTTGGAAGCTGCACCTTCAGCCATATATATTCAAGACTTGGGCCTTGCCCAAATGAAATTATGGAAGAGTTGTAGTGGTTGTTTACAAAGACTGCAACCCCACCACCTCGCCCATCTCTATCACAGCGATAGCAGTTGTATCCATTCATTCTTATATGGTCATTAGATATGTGTTTTGATAGCCACGTTTCCGATATTCCAACAATATCAAGGTTGTTGTTTTGAACCAGTGTACTAAATTCATGAAATCCTGATAAAACTGATCTGCAGTTTATATGACCAAATTTTAAAACCTTGAATTTATAACTATTCATATTCAATTCTAGATTTCAAGTATGTAACATGTTTTTTATAAGTTGGACAATCTAAGTCTTTAGAAGAATGACTAGTATCAAATTGAGTGTTGAATTTAGAATTGTGATTCACACAGTTTGAACAATTCTTAAAAGCAGATTTACAATTTTTTTCCAAATGATCTCCAGCACATAAAGGACATGATACTTTAGAATGTATGCAATTTTTTTCCATGTGGCCAAAACCTGAATATTTATAGCAGCGCACAATTCGTACATAATCCCGCACAGGACATCTTTGCCAACCCATGTATATATGACCTCTATCTAGCAACGTTTTTCTAAATTTTGGGCTAACCTCAATGACAACATTTAAAGTAGATTCGGAACATCTGAAAGTGGTTACAGTTTTTATATCATCACTACTGAAAATACCAAATTCATTCTGGGACAAGATCTTCTCGATTAATCCCTCAGATTTTGTGTAGGCGCATTCTACATTATTTATCACCATGCGTGGGCGATATTTCTTGATCTCATTGACAGTGAAGTTCGCACCGAGTTCTCCCTGTATACTCGCCATCAGCTTGGACAATGATGCTTCATTTTCGCAGCTAAGAATGATGCCATTATTCACCCTCCTCACAGAGTTCACACAGATATTTGACTTAGCTGGATCAATGCTCTTCTTCAAATCTTCCAACACATTAGAGTTTGATTTGTTCGTACTTTTTATCATCAAATTTTGTGTATTATTAATTTTATCTACAATCTTCTCATCTCTGCTTTTTTTTGACTCTTTTACAGCTCCACTATATGATTTAATTACATCATTACAACGAGTGTATGAGGTAGTAGCTTCTATTTTTTCAACTCTTTCATTTATTTTCCCCAAAGAAGTGATTATGGTTTCTTTATCCACTATACTGCTAATGATCAATTCATAATGCTCCTGTAAACGTCTGTTCTCATTAACTAATTGATTGATATACCTCTCTTTATCTAAAATTATTTCATTCTTTGTTTCTAATAGCTTCTTCAGGTACTGTACTTCTTGCTCTATAGTAGTATTTGCATTATTCTTGGATAAATAACTTTCATCTTTATCTTCTTGTTGCTCTTCTTCATCCTTCTTTTTTCGTCTAGTCATATCGGATAAACACCCTATGTATAGGCCAGGTTGAAAGTTGATATATCTTGACAAAAATGTGACTTTTGTGGCACAATTTTGGGAGAGGTTAAAGAAAAATGACCGAAAATGCTTGGTTCGTCCTCGGAAGAGCTGCTAACGTTTCTGTAAGTACTTACTGGTGTTATCTCTTGTATGGTTACTTCTCCAGAAGATTGGGTACGATGTTTCTCACACTTTGCGTATATACCAGGAGCAGGTATTTTTTTGATAGATAAGTTGACGACTATATACTATATACTGTTCTGTTAGTCAGTAAATTAAAAATTAGATTACAAATTTGTTTAGATATTCCAAGTTTTATTAGTGTTTCGTATAATAGAAAAATGTTTACGTTGTCGTATGCTGATTTGATATCTAGGAAGACTGCTAACGTGGTTTCTTTTTGTGAAAAAGCCAATTGTATGTTGGCAACTATGAAAGCGAGGTTGTCTTGGGTAGAGTGTGCATTTCTGAATCCTGTCTGCAGGTGGTTAAAAGTTATCTTACTTTCGAGCTCCCACTCTAGTTTATTTTTGATCAAAATCTCTAGTGTTTTCCCTACGCACGAGCTTAGAATCAGAGGTCTATAGTTGTTGGGGTTGTTTGGGTCTTTATTTGTTTTCAGTATGGGGTATATCAAATGCTCTTACCAGCTGTTAGGAATTTGCATACCCGATAGGCAGTTGTTGTATATGTTTAACAGTGAGTGTAGTGTTGAGCTTGGTAGATTCTTGAGCAATAAATATGAGATGTTGTCCATTCCTGGAGCACTATTTTTACGGTATTCCAAAGCGGTACATAAATCTCTGAAGTAGAATTGATGGATTTCATTTTTTGAACAATGGAATGAGAATTCAGCTGGAATGTTACACATAGTCAGATTTTTTATGATATTAGCGGCAATTTGTGGGTTAGGGGATGAGTTTTTATTGTATACTTTTTTACTGTCACTAAATTTTTTGAATGTTTTCCATATGAAAGAGGGATTCGTATTTCTGTTTATGATGGAGCAGAATTTTTTAAATTGGGTTTTTTTCTTTTTTTTTTTCAAGAATCTATTTGTCTGTGCATTGATTTTTTTCGCCTCTATGTAATTTTCTAAACTAGATTCTACTTTAAACTTTCGTATGGCCTTTGTCCTTTGTTCAATTTTGGCTGTGCATTCTTCATCCCACCATGGGCTTCTGGATACCTTTCTGTTATTATCTTGCTTGGTATAGGTATAGGGGATTGAGAGATCAGCTACTATGTTTATTGTTTGAGCAAGGGTTTGGTATTCATCCTAAAGTGTTCGCTTATCAATTGTTTGTATAAACACCAGTTTGCTTTTTTATAATTTCTTTTGGGTCTTTCGTTCGTTGATCTTCGTGAGTGTTCATATTTACAAATGATCGGGAAGTGATCACTATTTCCGCAGTCCTGCAAAATACCCCAATGTGTGATGGTGGCCAAGTTGTTCGACACTATGGTCAGGTCAAGAGGACTCGGATTCTCCCCTGCTCCTATGAGTCTGGTTGAGGAACCATCATTCATTATGATGAGGTTGTTGGATTCTTTGATTTCATAGAGAGCTCTACCATTGTAATTTGTCTTAATGCTACCCCATGCTGGGTGATGGGCATTGAAGTCCCCCACCAACATTACTTCGCCCACGAGCGATTTCACTAGTTCATTGAACCCTTTTATTGTGATTTTGTTGCTTGGAAGGCTATATACATTAACAAAATTAATATTAAGGACTTTAGTGACAATACATTGTAGGTTTCCAGTGTTAAATGTGTTAGGGAGTCTTATGTTTTGAAAACAGATGTTATTTTTTATAAATGTAGCTACTCCACCTTTCCCATCTTCTCGGTCTGCTCTAATGCATTGATAGCCTCTAATATGCGAACTCTGCTGTTTCTTTAGCCATGTCTCATTTAAAAAAATGATGTATGGGTTTTGCGTTTCGAAAAATTGTATTGAACTCACGCTGTTACTACTGTAACTCCTTAGATTCCAATGTAAAGTGATTAAAGTGTCTTTGCTGTTCATTTTGCAGTTGTGTCTGTTTTGTACTACTGAGACTAGGCTATGTAACATATTTTGCTTTTTCAGTAAAATTCGTTGTCAGTCTGGTCTGTATCATTAAGTACTATTTGTTTAATTTTACTTAGGGTTTCAGGTTTAAGGTATTTTAAGTTTTCAACTATTTCATCTACTTGTTCTTTAGTATTATTTCTGTAAAGAGCAGTAGTAGGCGTCTTAGGTGTGTTGAATGGTTCTTCTGTGTTTGAAGCGTTATTGTGCACTTGTGCTTGTACTGTTATTTTTCGTTACTGTTTTGTTGTCTACCGTTTCTGTTTATTAGGTTCTCATTGTGACTTTCTCTATTGTATCCGGTGTTATGTTCAACTATTCTTTTTTTTTGGTGTTTGTGATGGTGCTTGTTGAAAGGTTCTTTTTGTTTTTATTGTATTCGCGAATTCAAATGTTCTTCTTTGTGCTATATATTTATTTGACTTGTTCCGGAGGTAGAAGGTGTGTTCTGGTTTCTGATTGTTGGGAAATTTCTATTATTGTAAGCTATGTCGGTTGTGTTTGTCATATTACTTTGCGATTTATACGTTTTAGGACACAGCTCGTTTGCCTCAAAGTATGAAATATTTTCAAATGCCATAAGTTGTTTTATCTTTTCCTGCCTCTTGTACCCTGGGCAGTCTTTCTAGTTGGATCTGTGTTCCAGACTATCGCAATGATAACATTTTCTATGACAGTGAAAGTCCTCCCCCTCTTCATTATGTTCAGGATTACCGCAATTAAAGCATCTTCTTTTTCCCTTGCACTGGGTCTTAGTGTGACCATAAGTGAGACAAGAGTAACATTGAATGACAGGTGGTATATATATAAATACGGGAAAGAGAAGATAGTAAATAGAAACATCTCTGGGACGTACTGTTCCTTGAAATGTTATTGGTATGGTACCACTGTGCCTGTATTTTGTAATGCCATCTACTGTGGTTTTTCTATTGAGCCTTTTTGCATCTAACACTTTCATTGGAGATTCGATAGCGCTAATAATCTCTCTCAATTGTGAAGCTTGTATCTACTTGTCTTATGATTCCCTTGCATGTTACTTTGTTGAATGGTATATATATATATATATATTGTACCCATTGAGTTCTTTATTTGCAAAAGAGTTTGCTGACTTGTAATCCAGGAACTCTACTCCCAGCCTATTTGTTCCCTTGACTTGTATGCGTTTAACGTTGGTTAAATTTAATTGAAATATATCTTTTGCTAGCTGTAGATACCTTCTTTGACCTACTTGAATCCCCGTGCCTTCCAGTGCTTCGACAAAAACTATGAATGGTCCCTGTTCAGAGTTTTTGTAGCATATTTCTTTTTTATCTATAATGTTTTTTGATTGGCTTTTTCTTTGTTTGTGAACCAATTGTATTTTCTAGCTCTGCTTGTGTAAGGTTTCTATTATCTATAACACTAGTTCGGGGGGTGACTCCCCCCCGGAGTCCGTTTCCATGCCTCTACACTTTTATGCGTTCCCCTTTTTCCTTTTTTTGTGATATGTAGTACACAAAATAGTACGTTTGGGGTAAAGTATATAAAAAAAATGGGTTTTGACTCACCAAGAAGGGGATAGGGTTACTAACACACAGATATTGATTAGTATTTTTACCACACCACTTGGTTGCTTGTCTGCTCTAGATTTGTCTTTCGTCTTCGGTTTTTCTGTTTTTACTCGACACGCGTTCCACGGCGTTCGAAACCAGAATCTGGCAATGCTAGTGAAACGCGGTATTGACTACCACAGAAGCACTAACGCTGAGATGCAGAGCATCGAAGCGGCTTCCATGGTGGTCAATATGACGGGAGGCGTGCCGTTAAAAATCACATCGGTGTATCTCTGGTGTGGAATCAGGCTGCAAGAGGCGGATCTGGAAGTCCTTTTAGACTTCTCACTTATTGTGGCAGGGGACTTCAACTGCATATATATATATACAAAATGGCTACCTCATACATAGTACTGAAGAGCCGACTCACCACCCATTTAATCACTTTCAGGCACCTGATGTTCTTGATTTTGCAATATCTAAAAACTGTAGATACAGTATCACTTCTCGAATCATGTATGACATCTCAAGCGATCATCTTCCCGTCGTTTTGGAAGTGGGTAATGAGCAGACCTTGGAGGATGAAACCCCTCCAAGGAAACGCATTGATTGGGAGCCATAGAAGTCGCTCCTCAGAGAGTTCCCCAATATTCCGATCATAGATGATGAGAACGGTATAGATGCGGCTTAAGCGGAGTGGAGAAGTTTGGTTCAGCAAGCTCTGCAGCGTGCAGCTGTACTTCCCGTGCAGCGACACCGCAGACTTTTTCTGCCAGCAGACATACGTCAGAAAATTTCTGATAAAAGGGCGGCAGTTAAGCAAGCGAAAAGGTCTTGTCATCCTGATGACATTCGCAGAGCGACGAATCTTGTTCATGAAGTGAGAAATGCTCTTCATTAGTTCCGCAATGGAATGACTTTGTGGTTGGCTTGACTCAAGCATTCCTCTCTGGAAGGTGGCGAAGTCGCTCAGAAACGGAAAACGTGAACAAATCCCACATATCCACGGTCCTGGAGGCAATGTTTTCAGAGGTTTTCGCCGATGCCATGGAAACACAGTTCTCTCCCAACTATGATCTTGATAATGACCTCGACGAGGAGCAACACATCGTAAGATCTGTCAGATATTCTAGGGCCAACGGCGTCAGTGGCAGTCGCGCTACTGTTATTGATTCTTCTTCATCAGAAAATTCTTCTTCAGAAGCTTCTACAACCGAAGATCTGCTTGGCTGATCTGCGGAATCTCCCGAGATCCCGCTTTGCACACCAGCAGAGATACAAGGTCATATTAAAGACCTTAAGGTGCGTAAAGCACCTGGGGAGGATCAAATCACTAATAAGCCTCTGAAGCTGCCTTCGCGGAAGTCCTTAACTTATCTCGT